TGTTTCATAATAACTAGCCAGCTAACTAGCTCCTAGGATCGCCATCCCCCTTACCTGCTTTTTTTGTCCTTCCATATGTTGTTGCTCCTAGAGGACATGTGAAGTCGTCCTTGATACCTAACTATTCCATATCCACAGAGCCAAACAGTTATCAGGTGCTGCTTGTTCCACCGCCACAGTCCCCCACGTGTTTACTGTTTTTTCTATCTTCTGCCCTCCACTCACCTGACCATCATCTCTCTCCCTGATAATAGACCCTTCTAAATTGTCTCCTCATATTCATTCTCCATACATTAGTGAAAATAATATTTCAAAAATTCAAATTAGGTCATTCTACCAATTTAAATGCTTTCTATGTCTGCCCTTTATGATTTAGAATATTACTAACCCAGACGACACAATCCCCATGATTGAGATAGGGCTGCTTGGCCAACCTTAACTTGTACTTTCCTCCTCACTCATTACACTCCAGGAACACATTTTCTTTTCCTTCTTCAGTGGCGCCATGCTCTTGTCTATGCAGAGTCTTTGTCTTTGCTGTGCCTATTTTCTCCTGGTGAACACTGGTGAACACTCTCTTCCTTCAAACCACAGTTAAACATCTCTTTCTGCATTTCTCTCAACTCCCTGCGCCTGGTTATGGGTACTCATTATAGCACTCCATAGCTGCCCATATTTTTCCTTTATATTAGTACCACTCAACACACAGTTATGTAATTATTTGTGTAGTGTTTGTTTACTTTCCATGTCTGACTAGATATTTTAAGTTTTTTATTGATTTCTCCCCCCCACCCCAGATATTTTGTTATGGTTTGGTTCCCCCGCATCAGGTTACCAGACCATGAGGCAATTATTATCTAAAAGGGTAATAACTACAGTAAAAAATAGACAAACAACAGTCAAATTCTTGTGTTTTAAAAACAAAGCTTTAATGTACAGTCATCAGCCTTGCAGTTTATCCCACCCAAGGTATCACCCTGGAAGACTAATCATTCCAAGACAGGAGAAGAACAGAGCCAATGGGATGCATTAGATGTTGGTAGAGCCCTATTCTGAGATGTGAGGAGACAAAATGGGAGGACTTCTAGATGGTTTGGGGAATCTGAGAGCAGTCTGAGATAACTGGCATAATGAACAAATTTCATGTGAATAAAGATAGAACTCAGGGTAAAATATATTTTCATGAAAAGTCCTTTTCTGAATATTTTAAAGAACCCAGAAATAGAAAACATTTTGAAAATTAAATAGTTGCATTTGAGCCATGGTAAGTAATAGGATTATAACAAGTGGCACAATTAAAAGAGGGTTTTTTAATTCTTTTTTGCTACATATAATTAATCATATGTAATATGTTTTCACTTGTAATTATACAATTGTTGCATACAATAATACAATAAATATTAAAGGGTGCAGTATAGAAATACATACTTTAGAGACAAATCTTTCTGTGTAACTTCAAAGTCTACTCATCTAGCTAATTGGCTTTGTTTCTCACTTTCCGAATTTATAACTAAATGTATATTTAAGAAAGATTTTAAAACAGATTTTTAAAAAGACATAATATATTTTATTCTGAAAAACATGTAGATCATAAACTTTAAAAGTAATTTGGTTAATAAGCTACTTTGTTTCACAAATATTAATAATACAATCAAAGCCCCCAATTTTAAATTTCAGGAAGTTATTACTAGAAAATGTTTAACTTCTCCCAAACCAATCAATTTTAGTTGCTTTTTAACAATTTTCCCTATGATTTTGTGGTTATTATGTTATATGACTTGAGACCCCTGCACAATACATATATGAGATACTTAAGGCATGTTTGATGTTTGCTATCCTTTTCTGAAAGAGTGGATTATTTTCCTTGAGGATGAAAAAGACATTACATGAAGTCTGTTTCTTTAAATTACCAATGGATAAACCCAGGCAAGAAGAGTAAATGGAAATAATTGGATGTCTTGTTCCTTATGAGTTAATCTTAGAAGTCCTATGTAAATAGTATCATCTGAGTACAGATTAAAGCTAAGCTGGTTTAATATTCTGAAGTTTAGAGTTTGCATCCCTTTTTTAGTCTCCATTTTATTTCTTAATATTTCTTAATATATTAAATACTTTAAAAACATTTGCTATAATTCCCTTACTATAAAAAAAAAAGGAAAAATCTAAAGGAGTATAATGGAGCAATATAGGCAGTGAAAGAATGACTATGAAAATTAAAATATTTTGGGGGTCATGGATTCAAAAGATGTGTAAGTATTCTCCGCCAAACTTCCCAGCTTTCTTTATTTTCCTGTGACACTGAATTTTTTTAATAATGTTGAAGATTTTAGACCAAAACTTCTATGTAATGATGCTGGGAAATATAAGAACTAAACATTTTCAGATGAGCCCACAGGCAATTCCAATACCCATGTATACAAACCTCATCTACTCTTTTTTAAGAGTAGCCTTCCTCAATGGATGAATACAATGACACAATTTAAGTAAGTGTTCAAAAGACCACCACTCTGGCTCACATAATATACCTTTTCAAAAAATCATGAAAGTTACTACCAGGCTGTCAGGTCTAGAAACCCATAGGAAAACATTACTACAGGTAGAGCATATGCTTGGCAAAGCCATGGATCACCATCTGGGCCCTGCTTCTTCCAAGAAGCTCCAGCTGGGTGGTAGCATGGCATCTTTCCAATGGCGATGGTTCCCTTTGGGCCATCAGAGAATCAAAGGAGTATGGATCCCTTATGGCTCAGTCAGACCATGCGATCACCATGCAGACACATGTTGTATGTAGACGTTGTGAATGGGCCAAGCCCGATATTTCCTCCATGGTGTGTTCTTTGGTGTCCTTCAAGTATCCTCATTCTTCAACCCAGTTTGGAGATTGCTGGTCACTTTGACTTTACCTTTGTTTTTTAATGACACAATATTCAGGTCCCACAACTATTAGGAGTCCACTCTGTGCCTCTTTTGATCTTAGGAAAGATAAATCTATTTCCTTTCTAAACTGCTTAAAAGAGGCTTAATGGAGTTTGGAATTTTTCCTATTACAAAAATTCTTAGGTTTTTGTCAAAAGATATTTGAAATACCATGTTGAAATTATGTACTCACATCCCTCACCACCACCTCCAAGTAACTGAATCACATAAATAAAACATTACATAGAAAGTGCTTTGCTACAATTTATGGGTGGTAAATTTAACAAGAGCTGGCTTCATTGTAGGAAAATTCAACTTATCTTTTCCTGGTCCTTTTATTCTACACAGAAAAAGAAATTTATGTCAGTTTTTAAAAAAATCTTTTAAAAGAATCTATTACTGCTTCTCATAATGGAATCCACTATTTTTCTCCACTATCAATCAGGTAAAAACAAGAATTATAGATTGCTTGGACAGAGGCGTGAACATAAACATCTTCAAGAATTAAATGTAGAAAGTTAAATGGGTTTCAGGTGGTATTAAAACAAGAAAGGATCATCTTTATACATTTAAAAAATCAGATTTTACTAAAAAAAAAAAGTATTCTTATTATTAGCTGCTACAAAAAGATAAGTTATATAGTATTTGATTTTTCACAATTTGACAGGATGACTTTGAATAATTGAACTTGTCTTATACAAAGTCAACTGATTAAAAATATCCGTGGTTACCTTACTTTACAAATATTTTCTGTTCATAAGAGCATAAAGGGGCCGAAACCGAGCGTCGGCTTGGGGACTGAAGGGTCCCGGGTTCGATTCCGGTCAAGGGCATGTACCTTGGTTGCGGGCATATCCCTAGTAGGGGGTGTGCAAGAGGCAGCTGATCGATGACTCTCTCTCATTGATGATTCTAACTCTCTATATCTTTCCCTTCCTCTCTGTACAAAATCAATAAAATATTTTTTTAAAGAGCATAAAGGGGATCTATAATTGCTAGCTCCACATGACCCACTTTAGTTTCAGAAAAATTTGAGTGAATGTACACATACCTACTTATTATATGTATATAGAACAGCTATATAAAATTCTCAGGGAATTTTTTCTTTAATTAATGATATCCAGCATCTAATACTATCTAATTTTATTCAAAAAAGCTAACCTCCCAACTTGTCTCCAGGAAAATGACCACATTTCCAACTTCAGTTAAAAAACGTATACAAAGCCAACTGGCCCTTAACATTCACATTAAGCCTATTATTGGTTCAGGGCTGGGCATATGACCCCAATTTGTCTGGACAGAAAAAGAATGTTTCTTATGCAAGATGAAAATGCAGAGAGAGCAGCTCCCCATTTTCTCTTACTAAATGAGAAGAGCACAGGGAGCTTCAGCTGCTGCTGGCAGCCACCAGTGACCTTGAGAATCTGGACAATGTTGGAGGCAGAGGGAAGAGTGGAAAGGGACTTGGATTTTAGTTAAGATCATTGAACTGCAGCTAATGGCATTCTGCCTGGAGTCGTCCCTGCCTCCTGTGTTCCAGTTAGAAAATTTACCAAGTTTACTGATTGTTTAATCCACTTTGAATTGGGGTTTCTGTAACTGGTTGATATGTTGTTCTTCCCCTTTAAAAAAGGTGACAGAATATACCTCTGCTTTCTCCTGGCTTGTTTTGTTCATACATCTTTACATCAGAAAATCTTTGAATATGCATTTGATTTTTGCAACTACCTTTGAGAACTGTCCCAAACCACATAATGAGGTACAAAATTTGATACACCCCATTGTTTAAGAAGATAGTAATATTCTTACCAAAGTTAATGCAAACATAAGATGATTTAAAAAAAAATAAAAAAATTAAAAAAACACCTTGTTTTACGAGGCAAAAAATATAGTTCCATAACCAAGGTCTAACACTATTCCTAGCATCAAGATTTGAAACAGAGCTTGACCTGTTTTGTAGTCAATTTTAAACTCTGGTCTATAGACCAAATGTAAGGTTTTTGTCTGTTTGTTTTTTGTTTGTTTGTTTTTTAATTCTTCAGAAATTATAGGTATGGCAATCCTACCGCTCTTCTCTTGTTTTCCTAAACTATTTTGATACCTACTTCTTAGATATTCAGGCTATTAGATGTTTCTTGCATATTTCCACAGATAATAACTCATCAGCTTTGCAATCTGATTCTTAACATTAAGAGATTAAAACTTAGTAGATGATTCTCAGATGACATATATTGAGGTATAGAAATTTCCATCATTTCCTTCTACAAAATGAGAGAAATTTTAATTCTTTTTCTCAACAGCTGCTTCATTTTTTATGCACAGGGAAAAATGTGGGCAATTACTCCAAGTACAATCAAGTCATTTAACATGGCTTTCCCATCATTGTAGTTGCAGGATATTTAAAAAGAGGGGGGAAAAATCTTAAAGCAAGGGTCCTGCTGTGCAGCAAAGCAATCAAATTCCTTCATAATAACAGTCTGATGGGATTCAGCAATCTGACGAATAATGAATAACCACTTTAATCAGTAAACAGGAAAATGCTACCACAGCCACTGAGTAAAAATTGATTATCATTTGTTGATCCTGTTGATCGACATTTCAAACAACAGAGATGTAAGTATTTTTTAAAAAGAATAACTTTGTTTAGTGTGTTTGACTTTTTCTAGGCAGTGAGAAAATGATAGGCCATCTTAGACTGTCCTGTCGTGTTGTCCAGTCAATAAAATGTAAAAGTAATTTTTTTATAATACATGGCCAAATTGACCTTTTCACTTGAGTATGTCAAGTTAAACTCATTTTTGCAGCTGGTTAATAAGGTTGTATTTCTGGACTGATTATTGAACTTCATTTTTACTTCATTTGATTCTTTTCTTTACTATTCATCTTACAATGCTATTTGCATCTGAATATTCAGAGTCAAAAAAATCCTCAAGTTTCCAATACAGTTCCTCAAATGTTGGCCGATCCCTAGGCTCTGCATTCCAGCACTCCAACATGATGTTGTAGAATGGCAGTGGACAGTTAGATGGTTGAGGGAGTCGATAGTTTTGAATCAACATCTGGATTACCTGAGCACCTGTCATTCCTAAAATAATATAGAATAAAATAAAAAATAAAAAATAAAAAACAAGTTAAAGTTAAGATTATTAAATCCATGGACACTTATACTGTCTAAATTACAAAGCAAATTGATTTCCTTGGTGGTGAAGAGATGAGGTCTACCATCCATCCCCCTCCCAGGCTGCAGAGGTTAAACTAATTCCTATGGCAAGTAATGTCTACAAGACTGCAATTCAAGAGCAAAGAACGAGACAATAAACTATCTCATAAATGCAAATCATCATCGGATTTTACCTCTTCTCAAAGACATGGTCATCCTCACCACTCTGCCCTCTAAGTCTGGGTGAAGCTGTTAAAGTTGCAACTAAGTAAGTGACCTGCATCAGAAAGGCCTACTTCAGAATTAATTACTCACCACTATAAGGGACTTGGCCATAAGTAATGATTTCAAAAAGAAGGATTCCAAATGACCACACATCGGACTTAATGCTGAACTTATTAGAACGAATGGCTTCAGGCGCAGTCCACTTCACTGGCAGCTTTATTTCGTGTTTAGCTTCATAAATGTCTTCATTGCCTACCTGTTAACGCATTAAGAAACCAAACTAAGTTAAAGTGATGTATGTATATTTTTTGCCACCCTCATTCATCTATGACCTGCTACACATTAAAATGTAGAGGTTAAAGATTCAAAATGAGCAAGGTAGCACATTCCAAAGCTGAGATACAAGTCTAAAAAAATGAATCTATGAGAAGTTATTAATAAAATATTACTTGAAAGCCTACTGTGTGCTAAAAATAGCACTGAAAGCATTCTACTGCATATGGGAGAATTTGTGTGTGACAATACTGGCTTTACATCTTGTCTTTAGCAAATTCTTTTTTAAAATTTAAAGCATAGGCCGTCTGTTTATTATTTACTGCTGGCATTAAAGAGCAATTGACTTCTATAATTACCATGTAACCACATTCTAACACTGAAAAGTAGAATCCAAATGAATTAAATTAATATATCAACTCACTGGGGTTCCAATTAATTTACAAAAAGAAATAATGAATTCAGCCAGGACCGGTTTGGCTCAATGGATAGAGCGTGGGCTTGGGGACTGAAGGGTCCCAGGTTCGATTCCAGTCAAGGGCATGTGCGTTGGTTGTGGGCATATCCCCAGTAGGGGGTGTGCAAGAGGCAGCTGATCAATGACTCTCTCTCATCGATGTTTCTAACTCTCTATCTCTCTCCCTTCCTCTCTGTACAAAATCAATAAAATATATTTAAATAAAAAAAAAGATATGATGAATTCATGAAGATCAAAAGAGAATAATTTACTTATAATGTTTCATGACCTACACCCATAATTTTAGGGTACAACATAGAAATCAAAAGTTAAATTGAGAGAAAAACACCTAGCCTGGCTGGCATAGTTCAATAGTTGAGCATCGACCTATGAACCAATAGATCATGGTTCAATTCCCAGTTGAGGCACATGCTGGGATTGTGGACCCCATACCCAGTGGTGGGCATGCAGCTGATCAATGATTCTCTCTCATCACTGATGTTTCTACCTTTCTCTCCATCTCCCTTCCTGTCTGAAATCAATAAAAAACATTATTTAAAAAAAAAAGAAGAAAAATGCCTGATAGTATATAGTTTATATCAGTGGTGGGCAAACTCATTAGTCAACAGAGTGGCAAACCACAGTTTGCTAACTACTGGATCAATGTCTTTTGGACCAGGAATTAAAAAGCCCATGATTGCTGGCAGTATGAATATTACTCTGGCAAAAAGTGAGCAAAAGTGGCTCAGGTAACTGTACCAAGTGTGCTGCTCTTGGTAAGGGAAATAAAGGCAGACAAACAAAGGCTACTGGTACTGAAAAATAGATCATTAATTCAACTACAAACTTAATTATATCCTCTCGCATCTGGTTAATCATACTTCCTCTATTTCTTTCTCCTTGGTGAAGAATTGGAAACAGGAAGTAGTTTGTCTGTAAGGCCCCAGGCTATTAAACTGTTCTATGGACCACAGAGAAACTTGGAGAAACATTGTCTTAAAGAATAACATCCCTGGCTGGTTTATCAGTGGTTAGAGCATCGGACCACAGACCAAAGGGTCAAAGAGTCAAGTTCCAGTCCTCGGTTATAGGTTCAATCCTTGACCCAGGTTCAGCATAAGCAGGAACCAATCTCAATCTCAATCTCTCTCCCTCTCTCTCTCTCTCTCTCTCTCTCTCTCTCTCTCTCTCTCTCTCTCTCTCTCTCTCTCTCTCTCTCCATCCCCACCACCACCACCTCTCTTCCACTCTCTCTAAAAATCAATGGAAAAAATATCCTCACTCCTCAGGTGAGAATTTTTTTTAAAAAGAATAACAGTATATCTATTAGTCTAATGGTCTGTTAGGATTTTGACCAATTACAAAAAAAAAAAAAAAAAACCTAATTAAAACAAAAGCAAATTCACCTTAAACACTCTTGCAAGTCCAAAATCTGCCACTTTGTAGATATTATGTTCACCCACAAGGACATTTCTAGCAGCCAGGTCTCTATGGATGTAGTTCTGGGACTCCAGATAGGCCATTCCAGAGGCAACTTGTGCTGCCATGTCGACTTGTTGAGTCAGATTGATTTTTGATCCAAAATCATCTAGGCAATAAGAGAAAAGATTTACTTTGGGAAACATAAACTCTTGAAGTGAATTCTGAGAATCTTGATGAAATGAGCTCTCCATGGGATTAAGTATCATAGCACTGATCTGTTGAGCAAAAATATATATAACCACATAAAAGTTTTTATTTCCTGTAATGGGTTAATAAGGCAATAATTGTCAGAATCCAACTACAATCCAAGGCTGCAGTCTGCTCTTCCCTGAATGAGTATTACACAGAGAAGGAAACAATAGTGTCACATGATCCAATCAGCTATAAATAACTGAAAGAGTCCAGGATTTGCCATTTTCCATACCTCACATCACTGTCTCATCTCTTCATGGAAATTGTTACTCAGTCACCTCAGGATGTCTCTCAAACATTGCATGGTTTGTTTTAGTCTTTGAACCTGTAAAACGATGCTAATTTGAATGGCTAGGCTGATGAAAAGCTCTCATTCTTCTGTCACACTGTACTCAAGAACTAGCTCACTAACAGAAAGGAAGGGTCTGCCAGGAGTTATAAAATGTGTACATTACACCTGCATTCCATTCCGTTTGATACATTTTTAATTACCCTTTTTTTTTAGCATGTCATTGGGCATCCCTCTAATAGACCTAGTTTCTCCTTCTGCTCAAGATCTGTACCACTAAATAATAGTAGGGTCTGTTTGATCACTAATAGAGAGGTTAGTGTTATCTTGTGATGACTTTGTGAAAAGGGACTGACCAGCCATCCCTAGATAGTATTTAGCTGCCACACTCTTAGTAGATGTGTCCAGCTTTCTGAATAATTTACAAACTGTCATGTAAATCTAAACCATCATTATCCCTGACTGAATAAGCCAAATATTGTGAAAAATGTGTGGGATTCATGGTCCCGGGTCTAGGCACAACTTCTGACTTGAAAGGCAACTATAGTGCAGGGGTTCAAAAGACTGGTGTGAAGCCAGAGTGCCAGAATTTGGAGTAAACTGTGTCACGCTCCTATGCCTCGTTGAGTTAATACATATAAAGCACTTAGAACCATGCCTGGCATCTAGAAAGAACTCAGTAAACCCCACCTATTCTCATTATCATTGCTGCTGCCTAATCAGAATTAGAGAGTTTAGCATTTGTTAAATTAGAAGTGCATGTGAATTATCCAGATTGAAATGCCTAAAAGAAAATAAGCATATCAGTTTAGAGTTCTGGGGAGAGCTGGAGATAACAATTTAACAGTCACAGTTTAGAGTGGGAGTTAAACATTAAAAGTGGATCAAATTGCTAGAAAGCAACATGAAAAACAGCAACATTTAGGGTGTGAAAAAGAGTCACCACCATTGTCAAATTCTACAAATAAGTCCAGCAAGATAGGGACTAAACATCCTTTGCTAATACAGTAACTAGGGGAGACACTGGTGCCTTTTGGCAGGAAAAGCTGTTTCACTGGAGGTGGAGTGTAAGGGGTTGAGGGCTGGATGGGAGTTGAGGACATGATGATATCCCTCCTGAGTACCCTAAAGTCAGGGACTCCAGAGAAACTTGCATTCACACAAACGGCAACAAGCTATAGAGTTGTATTCAGTTAAAGGATATCTCAGTGAAAACACCCCTTCAGTATACTTAAGTGAACTGTCAATGAAATGAGCAATGTGCTAAGATTTGATTTATTTTTTTTAAAGAAAATATCCTAACATATGTCAGATCTATAGGTATTTATTGGAAAGAAAACAAGCCAAACTAAACTAGGAGATAATGCAGATATTTATCCTCTTCAAAACTTCAGAAAGAAATACCTGCATCAATTATCCTCAATGCTGAAGTCTTTTGACAAGCCTCTCCCATTTTGGAGAAATTTATTGCAAAAAATATTCAGCCAAGCTTAGGGATTATAAAGACGGTTCTACAGAAAAATGCGTATGTTATTTCAGCTATCAAATACAACATCTAATCCTATTTCAGTGGACATAAAAAGGTTTTCACTGACAGGCACAATAGAGAAGAAAATTGAGTAATAACAAATTTCCTACCCTGAAAACGTGTAGTGTCCTAGGAACTGCCTAACTCAACCTCAGAACACACTTCAAATAAAATGGCCAGATGTCAAAACTGATATAAAGGTTCATAGACGTGTGACAATTTAAATCTGTAGCAGGAAAATATTTTCAATTATGTTCTTCGCTCCAGAGTCTCCCATCTTAATATTTATCATTATAGTCTATTTAAGCATAGAAATTTCATTATAAGATCATTTGTTGAATTTAAGTCCTCTTGATTGGGAAGGGATTGTCTATAATACGCATATCTTCACGACTCTTCCTTGCTGTTCACTACCCTGGTGAATGGCAGCCATGGTAAACTTGACCTCATGTCCTAACTCAGAGGATGACAGGGCTCATGCTTAGCCCCAAATAAAACACATTAACAAGCCACAGAAATTCTCAATGCCAAGGGAGTCTGCAGGGTAATAAGTGGGTCTTTTCAAGCTGATACTAAAAGCCTCAAAACAGGCTTGACCCTACGTCAATCTTATTAGGTTCAGAATAGCAGCAACATAATCTGCCCATTAATTTATCCATTCAGGCAGTCTGTAGATAATTAGTGCACACCATTTATATGCAGACACTGTTTTAGCACTAAAACAAAGTCTCTGCTCCCATGAAGTTGTACTTTAGAAAATACTAAAAATAAGCTACATAAATGCCATGCAGTATAGTTAATAGCTAAAAGAAAGAAGAAAAAAAAAGTGGGAAAGAGGAATAAAAGGAGTCAATAGAAGGAGATTAAATTTTAGAATTTACAGGGTGATCAGTGAAGGGCTCACTGTAATGGGGATGTCTGAAGATCTTTCAGGAAGATCTTTCAGGAAGGAAGTGGACTATGAGGATAAGTAATGGGAAACAATTTCAGATCTAAAAGTATAGCGAGTGAGATGCTCCTGAAAGAAAGCACATCTGGAAGATTGGAAGACTGGCAGAGAAAGGCAGTGAAGCTGACACAGAGTGAACAAAGGGCAAGTTGTGGGAGATGTGGGCAGAGCGGTAATGGAGAACCAGGTCACTCAGTACTTTATGGGTTAGAGAGTAGAACCACTAGAAGTCACTGAAAATTTTGAGCTGATGAGGAGTATGTTCTGATTTACATTTTTAACAGGATTTCTCCAGCCATTATATTGAGAAGAGAATGAAGGTTTCAAGAACCAAAAGAGGGAGTCCAGTTAGGAAGCTACTGCAGAACCCAGGAGAGAGCAGATGCCGGCTTGGACCAGAGTGGAGTATTGAGAAGTAGTAATATTCTGGACAGATTTGGAAAGCAGAACAATAGAACTGATTAGATTAAACCAAATGGAGAGGACACATTCTGTTAGATTTAACACTGTGAATGTTATAACTGATGTTGACAAAGCATTTTTGTTAACAATGAACCAAAATGGCTCCTGTACGTTTGGGAATAAGGACAAAGGTTCATTGGTTAAAATTAGTCTTTCTATAGTGCACAACATATTCTGATGCTGTTAAACTTTATATATTTATGCAAGGGAGCTAGGATGTTTTTGCTTGTAATAGCATTTAACTGGCCTTATGTTCTTGGTCCTTCTAATCTAGTTTTGCAATGTAATATTACCAGATTCACAAGTTACCCTGAAATAAGAATACTTGTATCTTTTTGATATCATCATTACATTATTCTCATCTCCCTTTGCCTCTTTATACATTATATCAATCCTACTATGATATTTCAAAAAGCATAGAAAAATCTCTTTTTTAAGTATGAATTATAGTCGACCCTTGAACAACATGGGTTTGAACTGCACAGGGTTTTTGTTGGTGTGTGTTTTCTCAGTAAATACCTGTACTGTTTTTTATCTGTATTAGGTTCAGAATAGCCCCAATGTAATCTAGCTGTATAGATGCAGAGGATCAACTGGACACATTGATCTATGCCATTTTATGTGGGGGAATTCAGATTCTATGAATTCTGATGTCTGCATGGGGTCTTAAAACTAAGCTCGTATGGCTAAGGGACAACTGTAATATAGTTAACTTTGAGGGGGTCAAAAGTTACACACAGATTTTTTTAATTGTGTGGGGGGTTAGCACATAACCACACATTGTTCAAGAGTCAACTGTATTCTCTCAGTTCTTGATCTCAACTACTTTGCACATCTCATTTTAAGGCTTACTATATTGTTGCTTATGAAATTTTTCATTAATAAACATCCAAGTTTTACAACACCCTTAAGTCTTCTCTGACTCTAGGAAGCAGATATAAAAATAAAGCAATAGCATATTTCTGCTTTTTAATACAAAAATTATAATATTGCCTAACAATGAAAGTATTTTAAACACCAACAACTACAACTTAGTCAAACACTGGCAAAGAAAAAAAATAAGGTTACTTCTCCTTCTCTTTCTCTGAAAATATTTTATATCCCCTAATTCTGAGCCATAGAAAATCTTGGTCCGTGACTGATAATGTTCAATTAGTTATTATAGGAAACAAAGCATCATGCAAAACATCTATTCTTCAATTTTCCACATTACATTTAAGTATTTCGATGTGTCTACTGTGAACACTTTGTTCTCCCACTACATAAATATTTTCCTTCCTTTGAGTACACAGTATATATTATATTAAAGAATAGTTGAGCAATTCAATGTGAAGATATTCATTCTCACCAATATACACATAGTAAATATCCTTTGGGTTATAGAAAGCTTGCTAAATTGACATTTATAAGACTTGCTAAACTAAATCACGCTCTTTTTTTCCTTTTATTAAGTCTTTAGCTTACTTTGGAGATATTCTAGCAGACTTCCATGTCTCATCAACTCTGTAATAATATAAATTGGATCTTCTAAAGTGCAAACAGCATAAAGCTGGATAAGCTTTGGATGTCTTAGGTTCTTCATTATCTGAGCCTCCCTCAGGAAGTCATTTGGATCCATTGAACCTGAAACAAGAAGAGGGGGAAATCACTTTAAGTTATTGAAGCTTCCCTATCATCACAGCAGCCTGGTAGGAATCACCAAGATTGCTTCCTGCCTCTCAGTAAAGTAAGAGCATTGGTGTCACAAATCTTCAGATTTATCAAAGAAGAGAATCAGTTCAGCCAGAGCAACCTAATACTGGATGTATTGGTGCATCAGGGTGTGCAGTTTATATGTTATGACCTGAAGCTGAAGAAAGGTTGATGCAGGTCCATGTGAAAAATAAAGAAAAAAGGAGAGACTGACAGCCTAATTGATAAAACAAGGCAGGCATCTTCAGAACACAAAGAGAAGACATTCTGTGAACATGAATACTGGAGAACACTGAATATTTTTGGCCCAGCATGCAGGGAAGACGGTTAGGTTTCCTGTCCTTGGTACCTATTATAGGAACAGGTGGATAACAATCCTAAAACAATGGCATTTGGCTCTATTTATGTCTTTATTTCTGTAGGAACATATGATATAGAGCCAGTGTCAGCAAACTCATTAGTCACCAGAGCCAAATATCAACAGTACAACGATTGAAATTTCTTTTGAGAGCCAAATTTTTTTAAACTTAAACTTCTTCTAACGCCACTTCTTCAAAATAGACTCGCCCAGGCCGTGGTGGCTGTTGAGCCGCAGTTTGCCGACCACGGGTATAGACCAAGTAGAAAATGTTCAAAGGCCACTCCCAAAACTTAGAATTTTCCCATCAGTTATTTATGTTTAGGTTGAAACTGATATTCAACATTTTTTCCTATATTGATACTTCCACAGAATCTTAATAGCTTGATCATATGACAAGCGATATATTGAATAGTATAGGGACCTATTCTGAAGACTCATCTACAATTAAATTGCATTTAAATGGCTCAATTCTGACTCACCATGCAAAGTACCTTGTAGTTACCATCAAATAAAATCTGAGAGGAGGAGGATACATTTCATCAGTAATTTTTAAATCTTTAACTTCTTGTGGGATGTGATGTTTCAGAGGAATTACTTCAGGGGTCTTCAAACTACGGCCTGCGGGCCACATGCAGCCCGCAGAGGAGTCTGATCCGGCCCGCCAGGCTTTTTGGGCAGTGAGCGCAGCCGAGGTGTTACAGTAGGAATTAGTAGTTCATATAGTCCGGCCCTCCAGCTCTCTGAGGGACCGTGATCTGGCCCCCACTTTAAAAAGTTTGAGGACGCCTGCAAGTGAATAAATACTGTAATTTCATACCTCAGTATTCACTATGAATAGTGCAAATATTTCCACTGATGCTCAAAGAGACTGTTCCACTCATCGTCATCTTATGTTGAGGATTTGACAACTGACATTTGAACTGAGGTATACAGATAAGCTCTGACATCCTAAGGTAATAAATACTCTGACCTGTTTACTAATGTGAAGAGTTACATGAGACCTGCAGATCATTTCACAGAAAGCATTTAGGTCATCTATCCTTTGATATGCCCTTTGAGAGTCCAGAAGTTCACAGGCTCAATTAAACTCAATTCTGAACAAATCCTGGCTCACTGTGTGATCTTTAGTAAGTTACCAAACATCTCTGAACTTCAGTTTCTCCATCTGTAAAATGTGACTAATAATCTCATTGACATAATAAAATGATTATCAGGATAATAACAATGCCTGAGACAGATGTGTTCAACTACTCTTGACCATTATTTGTATGACTAGAAATAGCATACACTGGGATAAACTAACCAAATCAACTGTATGTATTTGTTCACAGTAGGGGATGGAGGGGGAAGGACTTAAAGAAGGGAGATAGGGGAAATGGCCTATTCTCTTTTCCATCACATTTTGCTGAGCTTCCTCCATTTCATCCACACCATTTGCTTGCCCTATATAATAAATACTATTAAAATCTTGAATCATAGAGGCAAAATGAAGCCAAATAAGAAAGAGGCACTCAAACCATAATAAAGAGCTTTGTTCTTGGTTGTTACCACTAGATTGGCCTATGATCAGATATGGATATAGCAGGATAACTTCCCACCCCACCCCCAAAATTAATCTAATTTATGGAGTTTCCAGTGATAGCAGAAATTACGATCACCATTCAGACAACTTAGATATACAATGTTTCTATGCTGATGCTTTGGTGGGCATCAGCTTCAGGGAATACAGGACACCCAAATCAGTGCCAAATCAGACTGTCCACAATAGCTGAACCATGTATGTCAGGAACCTCTGCAGGAGAGGGCTGGCTGCACTGGTTATAGCTGACCAGCTGCACAGCAAAGGAGACCCGATCTCAACTCCGCTTGTAATGCAACATTAAATATTAATTTCTGCCTGTCAAAGCTACTGTGGGAGTTGATTTCAGGCTCGTCTTTATTGCATGGTAGTCTGCTAAGCAATAAATAGCTGCTGGGATTGATTAATGGCCCCACTGAAGTGAAGACATTTAACCAATCACCAAAGCTGTTTGCTGCTATTACACTGTAAATCAATAATAATTATTCCTGTTGGAGAGAAAACTATCGCGGCACATTTTTTGATATAAGAAACCTGATTTTTTTTGTTCTTTTTTGACCTCCAAAAGGTTTCCTTGGAGAGCAATCTTAGGATGGATAGCTAGCTGCTTCTTTTTGGAAAAGCATTAGAGTGGACATTAAAGTTTACTGTCAATTGTCCACAAAATTAGTGTTCAAAATCATCAACACACAGTGACTGTGAAAAATCTCAGGAGCTGGAATAGGTCACTGGCATTTGGTCACTTAAAAGTGTTTCTGCATTGTTCTCTGTTGGCAGGGGTAAATGGCAAGGCTGGGCCCCTGCACTGGCGAATTTGTACCTCAGTGGACATCTGTCCACAGCTGATTGGAGCTAACATTTATTAAGAACTCACTGCAGACATTTGATGTAAATTTACTCAGTTTGTCCTTATAGTATCCTATGTAGTGGGAACTGACATAATTTCCACGTCAGATGAGGAGGTGCAAAAAGCATAATAAATTGTCCAAAGGCATAGAGGGCAGAGCCACGTTAAGACTCAGGTGTGTCCTAAACCAAACTTTATGCTCTTAACTGTTATACCAGAGGGTCTCACACTTACTCAGTTGATGGCACACTCACTGTCGCAGTAACTTTTTCACAATGCTCCTAAGGCGCAATGAATGCCTAACAATCCTATTAATTACTTGGTTAAATGAAAACAACTTAAGATGGACTTGTATCCTAACAGAAATGATTTTTAAAATTTTGTTCTTACTTATAATTAATTTCTAAAGGAATGCATGCATCTACTGGGCAGTGCACAATTTCTCAGGTCTTGGAAGCAGATAAAACACTGCTACCTTCATTTCCTATTTCACATTGATTTTTATGTGGATCTTGCATTTGATGACAGCAAACACCAAAAACCTGGTTTGATGTCAGCAAAAGGAATATAACATGATCTAATGCTAAAGCTGCAAATGGTAGCAGTTTGTGCAGTATTTGATATGTTCACCTCAAAACTTTTAAATCCAGTCCTTGGTCAGTTTGGAACAATAGTGTTTACAAAACTGCTAGCCAACAGCACCCAGGTGTTCAAGTGCTGCCACCTGGTGGCTTTCTAGGTGTCTGCGAATTCTGGACTAGGTAAATAATGGAGGTCCCCCAGAGAATTCGATTCTAGCTTTTGGTCACTATTCTTTCCCATTATTAGAAGTAGGTATGCAGCTACTTCAGCAACATTTCACTTTCATACAATGTCACTTCCTTGGGGTGTGATGCAATAGGAGTATATGTGAATTCAAATTCTAGCTCTGCCTTTTACTGACTTTTTTTTTTATAGTTTTATTATTATTATAGTTTGATTGGTCATGTATTGTAAACCCAACATTATGTAAAGCATTTCCACTGATAACCTAATTTAATCTTCAGAGCAACCCGACTAGGTTGGCTTTAACTCTATTTTGCAAATGATAAAACTGCGGCATGGAATAGTTTAAAAATTCCTCAATATTGCATGACAAGTAAATCTTACGAAAGTTATTTAATGTCTCTCAGTTCTCCTACCTCATCTTTACAATAGATAAAATAATGTCTGGCTGAATCAATACCAAATTTAGTCTAGTTTAAATTTTCACTGCAGGGAAAAATAAGATCTAAGAAAAATAGTTCCTGCATGTTCAAATATGAGGTCTTTAGATGGGCCATTTTGTCTTTTGACCACACAATTCATAAGAAAATGATCATTCCCTGAAATAACTCCAAATTTCCACTGATTGAAGTATATTCAGTAAAGGAGTGTTTTTGACTACGCCTAGGAGAAAAGGGAAGGAGGGACTCTGGAGGGTGGGAGCCTGGCTCTAGAGAAAAGATGCCTGTTGAATCTTGCACGGGGGACAGATTAAGACTTAGCTGGGAGCATCCTCTTGTCCTTACAGTCTAAGCCTTGGCCCCGGGTTATGGTCACCTGGGTCAGAGAGTAATTGCAACACTTGCTTGATGTCTGCATTGGCCGTCCTGTGACCTCTTGGACATGGACAGCGGCAAGTTGAACTTACAAAAATCAACATATGCCATTGAACCTCTGACGCTCTCATTGTCTTACCTGGTTTTAACGTTTTTACTGCTACTGGAGTAGTATTGTTCCAGAGGCCTTCCCACACTTCGCCAAACTGACCGGATCCTAATCGCTTCAGAAGCTGTACAGAGTTGCGGTCTATCTCCCACTGGTCCACAGTTTTATATGACAAATCAAAAGGAGTTGGCACTTGTATCTGTGTCATGGAATAATAAGAATACTTGTAAGAGAAAAGATTTAACAATGTTTTGAATGAAAATAATAGTCCATGTACTTTTTTTTTAAAAAAAGACCATTTCAAAAAACAAAATATTATAAGTTCTATATTAATTACTTTAAAATAAAAAGTGGTTGTGGCAGAATCTATATAATTACTTCTTTAAGCTGATATCCCCCCTTATTCTGTTAACTCAGGCACCAGCTGTCCATCTGTCCCACCCACCCCCAATCCCTCTCTCACGTGGGTCTGGCATGATTTCTCTCTGCCTGTTTGTCTAACTAAATCCTCCCAATTTTAAGACCAAATTGAAGCTTCCACTTCATTTACAATTACTTCCCAAACTCTTTGGCCTTGGCCTATAGCATTTATCATATGTATCACATATGTTTGCATAATTAAATGTTTCATCTTTTTTGAAATTCATTTATTTGTTCATTCATCCATTTACTTGTCCATTTAATAAATACATATTTCAACGAGGTTCCATTCTGTAACCAAAAAGGCCAGGTCACTGCACTCCTAGAGTCCATACTCTAATTTACCATCTACTGTCTTCATATACCCTTTTCCCCACTGGATTTAACAATATTAGTTAAACCGAGCATTTTGTAAGCTATATTTTTGTAGATAAGCTATATTTTGAGTATTTTATAAGCTATATCTTTGTATGTTTTGTAAACTTTCATTGGAAGCTTTTCTTAGCATGAGCTTACATACTATTTTGAGGTCATTCCTATACTTCTAAGATGTACATACACCAAAATTGAATATTAACTTGGCAGAATTTAACTCAATGTATCCTATACATATTATATCAAATTCTTCAGCTTCTATTGTCCATAAAATCCTCACCAGGTGTCACCATGCTTTCATCAATCATCCTGGTATAAACCATGGTGCTGGCTATCCCATTGACAGTACGTGAGACATGGACTCCGAGGGGAAGCTGAGGGCTTGCCCCACCACAGCATATGACCACTGCGTAACTTCAAATGCATTTAGGAAAAAACAAGCAAACAACTAAATAATGATGGATGTAGACACAGTCCATAAATGTCAAACTGTTAGAACAATTAGTTGAATGATATTTATATGCAGACAACTCATCCAGATAATGAATCTAGTAATTTCATATTAATATTCTTGAATGCAGATCTAAGTAGGAATTATATTCTGGCACTTTTTTTTTTTTTCTCTCCAGCCATATCATTAAGTGCTCCAATGGCAGGATACCATATTAATTTCTTAGTGCAAAGGGTGAATATTTTCTGTCTTCAGTGATTTCTTTAGGTCAAGGGTTAGCAAACTTTTTCTAAAAATAATAAGATAGTAAAAAATGTAGGCTTTGTGGGTCATACAGTCTCTATTGCAATTACTAAACTCTGTTATTACAGTAAAAAAGCAAAGAGAATTTGAAAATAAATGAGCCTGTCTATGTTCCCACAAAACTCACTAACAAAAATAAGTGTGAGATGGTATTGGCACATGGCCATAGTTTACCTACCATGCCTTAGGTAACCAAGTGACCTTTTTTTTTTTTTTTTTTTTCCTGAACTGGTGAATCATATGTAAAATATTCAGTATCTTAAGGGAAGAAGTTAACTTCAAAAATAAGTGAACACAGCTTGAAAGCATTTCACCTTTAAGCATGGTTTCTCCAGCTTGACACACAGGCCATCACTTATCTTGGTGTAGTGGCTCACGAATTCATTCAGCGTTGTAAAGGTTCTTCTCCGAGTAAGGAAAAAGCCCCCTTCATCCAGTCTTCTGATTTTGTAGTGTTTCACGGCCCTTTCAACTAAAACTGGAACCCAAAATAAGTTCCGTTAATAACTTCTTGCCAAAGCCAAGCAGATTTACTTATTTTGTGGTGATAGTTTTAATGTATGGAATAAAATTTTTCACAAATTCTACTTTATTTGTCAACTTTGTTTCAGAAAAGATTTCAGAATATTTACAATGGGCATAGAGCAGAATTTAAAAAAAAAAGAGTTGTGAAATAATAATTTAAAGGAAATACAAGATAAAAATAACAGAATGAGGCTAGCCCTAGAAAACTATGCACTGCGGTATATTTGACTAAAACAAGCCATATAATTGACTCTATCATTCTAGTAATGTGAAGAGGAAACATTATCAGTTTCAGAAATTGCAGCATTTATAAGATAAAATCACAAAAGGTGTTTAAATATACTTCGATTCTTCTTGATACAAAGATCAGGAAGAATTTTCTCCCATGAAATCCTATAACATGGACACTGAAATAGACTTAATTAGTGTCCTCAGTATTAACAGACAATAATATTCAAAATTTTGCAGGGCCATTCATTCTCTGTCTCTCAATACAGGCTGATATGTCCTAGCACATTTCAATAAAAGCAATTCCACAGGGCCTAACATGACACAGTCTATGTATACAATTTTCCAACAGTTTCATTTATCCCAGGGATAAGTCCTATAGTATTGAGGGATAGACCATTTGAACTTTTTTCAAGTCACCTGACTTGCAATGGATATTCTGTTGCTTTTGCTTTCCACTAACCATTGTCCTCTCTTCTAGTAATGGCACCTCAATATTCCTTGAAGAAGCAATGCTCCTCTAAGAGCATGCGGTCCAAAAGAACCTGGTGCCAACCCTGAACCAAAGAAGGCAGTCAGAGCCAAGAAGACTGAATTCCAGAACTTGAAATCCAGGAAGAAATGTGTTATCATTGTTGTCTTGTTTCTGTTTCTGTTTAACCGCTGGGAGTTTGGAACTACCAGAAAAATGCTTCCCTCACCCCACTTCCCCTCGCCCCGCAGGGAAAGAGGTGAGTTGCCTACTCAGATAAGCTATTCAAGTGGAAAAACAGAGTCTTGAAAGGAAATGTAAAGCTTTTCCTTTGGAGCCAGCCAAGCCTGGCTTGTCAGCTATAAGAGTTAATTAATTACATAATTTTTGTTTTAAATTACTTTGAATCTGGTTTCCCGCACTCGCATTAAAAAATATTTACTGAGGCTCTTCTTGGCTACCCAATCACTTAGCAAAGTTATTGATCAGTATTGAGCAGCATTTACTAGGAAAAGAGATATTCTGCATTCCTTGCTAAATATAGAAATTTATGCTTTATTAATCAGTTAAGTTGGAGCAATGTTTTCATGAATGGAAAGAAGACTGAGAAGACATCTCAATCCAAGAACAGAGGTTTACTGAGGGCATGTCAAAGGCTAGGACAATATTTTCCTGGAAAAGCAATTGGTGTACAACAGAAGAGCAATGATTAAAAAAAAAAAAAAAAAAAAAAAAAAAAAAAAAAAGACAATGTCAAGTGTTGACAAGGACATGAATAACTATTAATAGAATTATCTCTCTCCACACAGTGAATAAAACTGTAATTTTTACAACCATTTTGGAAAACTACAATATTTGTCATGATCTACTAAAGTTGAACATAATGAGACATATAATGTAGTTATTCCACTCTTAAGAATATAGTAAACAAAAATACATCAAAATGCATATATAAGAATGTTTTTAGTGGCATTTTTGTCAGTGTCTAAAGCTGGAAATAATATAACTGTCCATCAAATATATAATGGACTACTTTAAATTGCTTATATTTTTCCAGTGAAATACTATAAAGATATGTAAATAAACAGATAACAATAACACAGCAACATGAATGAATCTCACAAACACAAAATTATGGTTCCACTATTTAAAGATGTAAAAAGAAGCAAAACTGTTGATATTAAGAGTCAGACTGGGGTGTTGGTGACATTCTATTTCTTGACTGGGTGCTGAATACATAAGTAAATTCATTTTGTGAATGTATACCAGACTAAACTTTTTAAAAATATATACAGAGGGCAAGAGTATAGTTAGCTCCTCCAAAAGCAATATACACTTCTTAAATTACAATATTTAGGTATCTGGAACACTTGCCTGTAATCTCTGTGTCAAGATACCATTCCCACTGATTATAACTTTGGGCAATGTTAATCAGCCAGTAAAATCATCACCAAATAAAAAGATTTTATTAAGATACAGAGTTAAGTACGTAGCAGATTCCTAAGTATGGATTAAAAGGTTAACAATATATCAAAGAGAACCGTAAATAATATTAGCCCAAATTTATTTCTCCACAAAATAATAAAAATATTAGCAGTAGAAAGGTAGCTAAATATAAAATATATCTGCAGTTTATATAAATTATTGCCCTAAATATTCTATCTTTGCCACCCATCGAAAAGAAAAGTGCACAAATTATAGAGATGTCTAGTTAGCCAGTAGGTCTATAATTAGAAATGATGAAAAGCAATAAAAAAAATCCTCATATTTAAACAAGATAAACAATATCTGGTTCCAAATTGACTACATGAAAGTTAAGCATAAATTTAGGAATTCCTTTTTAGTGCACCTCTGAAAACCTAGTGATTTCCAAGTTAGACACTAAAGCCAATAGATGACTGGTGAGTCAAAATACTCCTTGTGATTTTCTTTAAAAGGGATGCAAATCATAATGATTGATATTGATTATAAAGAAAGCCTAATAAATGTTTGCCAGCTATTTGCAGATAAAGATTTAAACCCTCAATTGTAAAACCAATTCTGTGTAATACATCCCGAGTTGTCAAGCACAATAAAAGTAATTGTGTTTAACCGAAAAGATGGTGAGATGGGAGATTCATATTACAATTTAACTTTATATGACCAAACATGTCAATCTCACTGGGCCTCAGCTTCTTTGTCAAGAGCAAGCTTTAAGAAATCTCCACATTTCCAAATGTTTCCACATTTCTTAGTGTTCCAACATTTCTTTTAATTTATCTTTATTGTTGAAAGTATTACAGATTCCTTTTGTTTGTGTTTTTTTTATTTTTTCCCATGGACCCCCTCCACACCATACTAAGAGCTGTTGCTTCTTCTCTCTAAATTCCTATTTCTTTTTCTTTCTTTTCTTTTTTTTTTTTTGTTTGTTTGTTTGTTTGTTCCCCTTTCACAATACTTAGTTCTCACCGTGGAGCCTTGAACACCACTTGAAAGCTTTTCCTATGCATCTTCCCATAAGATTTCAATTTAAATCCCCAGAACAAGCCTTCCCCACCCAGCTTATGGAATATACCCCTCCTTAGCTCCTGTTTAATGGCAATATATATATTTATAATAACATGTTATGGTATTCACCATCTCAGTAGAGGTGATTCCATGAGGGACAGAGACTCTGCTGTCTTAATCCAGAGCTTGGTACAGAGTAACAACTAACATAAACATCTGCCAGATGAATGAATAATGTCACTGACTCTTCGATTTGAAGTGAAATATAAGCTTTTGAAATGTTAACTGCAAAATTAAATAGGTAATTACACAAATACTTTCAGGACAAGATTTCCTTGGAATTTTATTTTTAATGGAAGGAAAACAAACTTAGCTCCAGGATATAAAGACTATTAGAGTATAGTCATTCATGGTTATAGCCAATTTCTTAATTTTTTTGCAACATAACACAAAAATAACTGCTTCGTCTCTTACTGACATCGAAGGTATTTCTATGTGATTCATTTGAGTTTTCAGTCTAAACAAAATTGAAAGATTTATGTAATTTAAAAATTAGACCACAGAGCTATATCAAGGAAATCAATACATTGTAGTCAGGACGAAGGCACTTTTAATATTGTATTCCTGAGTAATCAAATCCAAATTATATGATTGTTTTTTAAAAGTGGTTTTAATTTGTTAGTAGTGACTCCATATATTTGCATTGACATTCCAAATAAAGATTGAATTCAGGGGGTCTCAGAACTAGGGATAAATAAATTTTCTATTCCTTTTTTGGTTCACTGTAATCTTTATTATTGAACCAACCCACTCCACGTTCTATAGACCAGAAGTGAATAATAATACTTGTGTCGTTCTTATCGTGAATTACTATGGGTTCAAATTAGTTAAGCATTTTAGTAGCTCAAATGCAAAAAAATATAAGGCTAACTATAAACTATAATGGAATCATCCATCAAAAACTCAGTAGAATCATGATTGAATGAACTGAGCTAAAAGGTCAAGCATCCTGAGTTTGCTTCTTGACTCTCATTTATGCTGTTTAACCTAGGGGGAAAATATTTCACCTGTCAACTGATTAATCTACCTGAACATGTCCAAGAAGAGTACAATAAAGGTTTCTTGAATGTTTAAAAAAAAATCAACTATTTCTGCTCATAACCTTCTATAAGGACCCTGATCCAAGCAAGTTATCTGATTATTTGGGCACCTTCATATCCAGAGTAACTGCTTCTAGGGAATTCATGTGATGTCAACAGTGTTGAGATTTTAGTCCTATTTGCAAATGCTTTTTCAAGTAGGCCAAGATTATCATAGCAGCCCAGCTTTCTCCTAGTGGCGCGATCTTATATTATATTGCTTCTCATGGTAGAAATGGGTTTGTCTACCACTGCACAAAGGAGTGCTGTGAGATTTCATCAAATAGAAATTTCAAAGTTTACCACACCACTAACATATTACTCAGAACATATTAAATCATTATGAAATCCAAGATATTCCAAAGTTAGATTTTTTTTAAGACAGAACTTCCAGAAATTAAATTTTGACTACAATATGTGTAGATGCTGTGTCTGAAACACTCAAAGACAACATAGTACACTCAATGGAAAATATCAATATAACAAGGAGTTTAGCATTTTATAGATAAACAAATGGTTGATTGAACTAGTTTTGATTTTCTGACTAGTCCTCTGGCATCAATTGGGCATAGTTGTATTCTTACTAACTGATAATAACCTGGTCCTATACTGAGTAAAACAATATGA